ATTTTTAAACATTAATTTGTGTTCACAGATAATCTTATGGGTCACAGTACAGTTATGCTTCACCTGTGCACTTCTCACAAACGTAAAGGAAATTTTAAGTGAAACTGAAAACTGAATACAATATATTCTTCTTGTAAATGGCAGAAAATGGAAGGGGTTCCTGGAATTAGAAAAAGCTAAAGGCACCCTTGAACTGAGCTCAGTGGCATGGACATGTTTTCTTGGCAAAGTGATAAGAGATTATTTACTACCATCTGCTTTTGGGAATTTTCTGGTGGTCTCTAATTTAACCATTAGCCAGGTTCAGCCCCAAGTCATAGACAGAGATATTCAGAAACCATGCTGAAGTCTAATCCTTTTGTCTGGTAGTTGAAGTCCACAAGTCTCAAAGTTGCCAAGTTTGGAGATCCCTGTATTAAGAGCTGTTTTGATGGATGTAGAAGGAGGTGAAGACAAACATCCAGACTTGTGGTTGTTAAAGGTTACAACCTCCAGACACAATTTTAGGCCATCTTCAAGAACAAGGCTTATGTTTGTGGAAATGTATAATTCTGGCTAACTGTTTTCCAACAGGCCTTCTGTGATCAGCCTCACACAGAATGACTTTCAATTCACTTTCTACTATTTCAAAGGCATGTTAGCTCACTCTCTCCCACACAACTGGCAGTGGCACACCCACCACGCCCATGCATAAGCACTAAAATTAGCCAGGAAAGCATTTGTACAGAACTCAAATCTCAGTACAGCTACATGCAATTTAAAAGATGAATCCGCCAAGAATTCCTTGTTTGCCTTCATTAAAACCAAGATCAAATGAACAGGAGGTGACAAAAGATCAGAAGTTTGTCAAGACCTTGTTCATCTAACATAGGGTGTCAAACTGGATTTCTTCAAGGGCCGGATCAGCATGGTACTTCTCCACAGACTGGACCGGGGGGCGGGGTGGGGGAGGAAGTGACAGGATGGACGCCTCCTGAAGCACTCTGCTGGCCAAAATGGGCCATGGGGGTGCTGCATGTGGCCCCCCCATGCCCCATTTTGGCCAGCAGAGTGCTTCAGGAGGCCATCCAGGCAGAAAACAGGCTACACCCCACCCCATGCCCCATTTTGGCTACCAGAGGCACCACGGGCCGGTCCTTTACTATTTCCAGGCTGGCCCCATGGACTAGATTTAAGAACCCTGCGGGCCTGATTTGGCCCGCAGGCCTTGAGTTTGACACCCATGATCTAACACATTTTATTAAAAGTCATAGTCGGAAAGGATGTTACCAAACTCCTCCTGAGGTAAAGCTCCAATGGAAGAAGAAAAAAAAAGTCTTAAATTGTGTAATTTATGTAAATGCAAGTGCTTATTCTTGGTTGGCTTAATCATAATTTCATCATCTTCCCAGCAAATACTGTAACCTAACTCTTCATATGAAGCCGGCCTACGTCTTCCATAAGTTGACAATTCGCCATATTAAGGAGGTCTATAAAAGAAACTATAAACTTGATTGGTTTAATGTTAATGAGAATAATAATTCATGATGGATTATAGGTTTCCCAATCACATTAATATTTAATAACAAGCTTTCTATTATTCAGCATCACATACAACCTTTGTGAGGCCATCATAAAACCTCATTACAAAATAAACAATATTACTACAGAAGTACAATGTTTGGAAGAGCTAACTAGCAAAGATATATTACTTCACTGAGTGATGTGGCATCTTAAATATGAACAGATTTATTATGTTATGACTTATGCTATGGTGAACCTTTACATAATGAAATGAAACATCTCTTTACTGCACAAATGAAACTTCAGAGAAGGACAAATGTTCAAAAAAGAATTTGGCAACAATTCATAAAATTGTAAAAAAAAAAAAGCTATGTGTTTTGTGATGACGAGATTGAAACATGTTTGCTTTAAGTACTGAATGGCGAAGAACTTTCACATTCATAAATCTAACATTAAAAGCCAATAATGTTTATAGTTTCTTTTATAGCCCTCCAATGTACAGTATGATGGACTCATAGGCTGAGTGGCTTACTCTCTCAAAATTATGGGGAAGATTTGAAGCCACACCTTTGGGCACAACAACTGTCATAACATGGAGGGAATTATCACCTACTTACAAATGCTGCCAAACAATTTTCTGTCAAAAACAAAGGATAAATGGCGTAGGGTAAAATTTAAGATTTCCTACACAAGTATGTTCACCTAGATACAGATTAAGATCTTGCATCATGCAAATAAGTCCTTATTTAAGAGGCTTACTGAAACAAACATATGTTTGTTGGAAGAAATGCACAATATGGACAATGAAAGAAAGACTTAAGTTATGTGGTTCAACCTCATAAAAAGATTAACAGTTCTAAGTACACATAGTTTTGTTGCAGTCAAATATGGCCTAGGTATTCATAATGCTTATTGAAAAAATGATATAACTTGATTTTTTTTCTTTGATGACCTTTGGAAAGTGGACTTTCTAGATTGATATGGTTGCTCTTTCTTTCTTTCCTTTATTATTTTTGTAAATAACTCAAGGTGGCGAACATATCCAACACATCTTCCTCCTTCCTATTTTCACCATAACAACAACCCTGCAAGCTGAATTGGGCTAAGAGACAAAGACATTTCAAAGTCACCAGCTGGTTCTCGAGACTAACGTGGGACTTGAACTCATGATCTCCCACTTTCTAGCCTGGTGCCTTTACCACTAGGCCAAACTGGCTCTCCGTTTCTTCACAAAATTGTGGGAAGAAACATCCAGAAGGAGAGCCTGCAGAACACTGGCAACAGACTGTGAGAAAGTCAACTGAGTGTTGAATAAAATTCCTCAGCCATGATCATTTCTATGCAATTCAATGGAGCTTTTCAATGGATTTTACTTAGCTCTTGGAAGCCTTTTAAAATCTCAGTTCAAAAGTAACATTCCAACACAGTGTCTCTGAACCTCAACAACCACAAGATGTGTGGACGTCAACTCCCAGAATTCCCAGGCAGGATGCCCATTGGCCAAGAGCTCTGCGGATTCCTTAAAAGGAATTTCAGTTCTTTCAGTCAGAGGAAGAAAAGAAAATGATTTACCCTTAATCTTGGTGAATCATAAAATCGAATTCATCTTCCTTTAGGAGAGTTTCCTTCAGAATTATTCCCTGTTTCCTTCAGAATTATTTCCTTGTAACTTAGCTTGCAGCCAACAATGTGCAAATCTCATTTTCTGGAGGAAACTTATGATCTTTGATTAGATTCTGGATTGGCCTGATTTTCAGAGTCTTTTTCAATCTGGCTATATGAGAATTTTAAGTTCTCTGTAGATGCTCACAGTAATGCTTAATGCAACAAAGAAACCTGTCTAGTTTTTTAAAACAAACACTACAGGTAATCAACAAGATATGACAAGTCACTTAATGAATGTTCAAAGTTATGACAGACAACCCAAAATTATATATAACACTGTTTCAAAATTACAATGTTAAAGTGCCCCTGTGGTCACTTGCCCTTATGGCCAACCAAAGACATGGATATGGTAGGGTGCCCCATAAACATCAAAATAAACGCCTCAAAGAGCTACTACGTTGGGCCACTGGCCTTTAGCCTTACTTCATTTAGCCACATTTCATAGAATACTTCACCATTGCAGTATATAGACTGTGCCAAAATACCCAAATTTCAAACCACAGGTTCTGTATTCACAGAACATGCTACGCCCAGATTAATGAAATCAAAACATGGCTTGGTGAAACATACAAATTAGGTAATATTGAAAAGAACAAGAACAACAAAACATTCAAATGTCAACTGTTTCAAAAATTATTTACGATACGAGATCAAACCCAGTAAAAGGCCAGCATGCAATACACTAACTGTACAAAGAAAATTTTAAACTTGTGAGAAAATCCTAAAGCCATGAGCAGCTAACAATTCATAGTATGAAGGGAAGAACCAGACAATCCTAATAGCTATTGATTGATAAGAATTCTGCAACCTTCTTTGGCTTCTGAAGAGTGACCAATGATCATTAGAATTATTAAAAATTGGAAGTATTAAACTTGATCCCCATGGGGTATACAATGGACATTTTTAATAGTACCTGCAAGACAGATTCTACCTCCGATTCTGAAATAATAAAAAAGTCAAAAACTAAGTGTTAAGTAAACTAGACCAAGAAAGGATAATAAAGATAAGAAAGAGTCATAGCAGGTTTCGATGTCTCAGAAATAACCAAAGGTGTCTCTGGTTTGGGCATCAAAATAAAATAATGGTCAGGTTCTGCCCCTTTTCAACATGTGCCACGGGGCGATGCATTTCAAAAGAGCCAAGGCTTTGCTGCACAGTCATGCTATTTTCTTCAGTGATTTGACCTCCCACCCCAGAGATATCCCTGGCAATAAGCAAGTCTTAATTACAGCATGAGGAAAGAAAAGAGGGTGGAGGTGGGAAGGGAAGCACAACTCTTTCCATAAAATTTCTTCCCAGTTACGACTTTTGCTTTCTAGCTACCCGGGTACTTAATAGTGCTGTGCAACACTTTGATCCGGTCTCCAAAAAGAGCTTCAGCAAACAAAGCAAGGAATTCTGGAAAAAGTGTCACAGGCAAAGTGTCACTTCGAAACACTTTGGAAAGATCGAAAATGTTGAATTTGTTCGCCCTGGCAGTATTTATTACTGATGATCGCCAAGAGACCTGCTGTTTTTCCTCATTCCAAAATGCAAGCCGTTTTCTTACTCCTTTGCTTCCCAAAAGCCAGGTATCCGCAAAGACCAATGGAATGCAGAAAGGGGTGGATATCCTGGCATGCCTTTTTTTTAAAAAAAATACCCCAACCTCCCCCAAAGGGCAAACTCGGCAGAAGATTTGGGGGGGGGGGAAGGAAATCGATCAACCCGAAGCAAAAGCCACCAGTTGGGGTGGCAATTGTTTCTTGAGAGGGCCCTGCTGGGGAAATTCCTGGGGAGGGGGGGGGAGGGGGGGGGAGGGGAGAGGGTGAAGACGAAGGCCAAGCCCTTACCTGTTCCAGGTGGCATTGGAGCAGGCCCGCTGTTGCTGAGTCCCCCGCTCGTCCAAGGCAGCTGCCTCTCTCTTGCCCAGATCGCTGAGGCTGGGCGAACTCATGAACTTCAACCTGCGAAGAGTCCTCATGATCAATGGTGGTATTGTGCGCGGTGGCTAGAGAAACCCCATCCTCTTTACCACACACAGACACACGCAGCTGAGCCAACGGGGGCAACTTCTCCGTCTGCTGTTCAAAAGTGAAACTTAAAAAAAAAAAAAGAAAGAAAAAGGAAAACCAACAGGAAAGAAAAACAAAACAAAGAAAAGAGAACCAGTCTCTACAGAACAGTCCTCGGCCAGCAAGAAGTCAAAATTCTTTCATCAGAGCAATTCTGACATTCCACAGCCCAGTTAATCATTGCAATAGGTTGGTGCTGCTTTCTTCAAAGGCCCTTCTTGTCCCGGCCAAGGAATCACCACGTTTCTCTCTCTTGGCCCTCAACAGATGGAGAGTCATTCAGCCCAAATGTTCCACCTGCCATAGTAAACATTGTTTTCACTGAATGCACAGATGGCTCCTCCTCCTCCTTTTGTAACAGGAGACCAAGCTGCTATGTGTGTGCGCAGGGCAAGGAGGGGGAGCTACCCACAAAATATGACGTATGGAAATTTCACAGCAAAGTTTCACAACCGCTGAAACTTTGCCACATTACAACACACGGGGTTTCCATTTTTTCCATTGGAGCAAAGAACAACTCAGCTGCTAGATAGATGCCTGAGCTGAAAGGGTGAACAAGCCTCATCTTTAACTCACCTGTTTAAAGAGACAGAGACCTCGTTTTTTTTTTTTTGCAAAGCTATTTGGAAGATGTCCTATGACACAAGGGGCTTTCACTCCTCCAGGCTTCCTAAGCTGGGATGCAGATTTACAGTAAGTGTCACCTCTAAATAGGTCAAGGGACACACTTGCAAGCCGGAGCATTTAAATTACAAAAGGTGCGCTGCGCATAATTATCATCTGACTCCGAATTCCAGGCATTTTCTAAGCATTCACTTTCTTTGGTATGCAAAGCTGGAAATAAAGGATGCAGCAGGAATCCCAGTTTCTGAAACTTTCCACTTTCATGTAAACAGGAAGGCAGAGGACCAAGAAACACGCAGGGCCTACTCTATAATGTTTCTATAGAATGGACATAAAGTTCTTAACCAGCAGCATCATTGAATATGAGCAGCCATTTGATAAGGCACCACAAAAAAGCAACAGGAGTTTCAGGATCAAACAAAATGTACATGCTGAAAAAGAACAGCCAACACTTCAGAGGTATTCAGCAGGTTCTGACCAATTTTGGAGAACTGGTAGCAGAAATTTTGAGTAGTTCGGAGAACCTGCAAATACCATCTCTGACTGGCCCTGCCCCCATCTATTCTCTGCCTCCTGAGTCCCAGCTGATCGGTTTGGTTGCCCTGCACAGGAGAACGGAGCTGGAAAGCAGGCTAGTGGGGTAGGGAAGGAATGGAGATTTTACAGTACCCGTCCCCTACCATGCCCACCAAGCCACGCCCACCACGCCACACCCACAGAACCAGTAGTAAACGTTTTTGAATCCCACCATTGCAACACTTCCATATGCACACCTCCAGGTGCAACCCTACCCTGGCACAATTTCAGAGGCAGACCTGGTTCTCTGCAGATCACAACAGAGACTGTTCGCTTTCCAGAAAATCCAAAGGATATTCCATGTTTTTTCTAGCTTCAGGTGCTACCGTTACTTCAGTGAAGGATTGAATTCCTTCAGAAATTGCTGCTTTGTTCAGTGGGAAAGATCAGCATACAAACATCTTTTGTGGGTCCACATGTTAGTAAGAGAGGACAGCCAGTTGTTGGGGACACTAGTCACAATCCGCAAACCAGCCTAATGGTATTTGTTAAATGGCTGAGAATTCCCCCTTACCCTCTTGTTCGTTTTTACACAATCTGAGCTGTGACTTTTTGGTTGGAAGAGCTGTCCAAAATAACAGAAGAGGCTCCTTCCGGAAGCAGAATATTGGAGAGGCCAGATGGCCATTTGTCAAAACTGCTGTGGTTATAGACCAGGGCTGTCAATCTTGTAGCCTGCGAGCCGGGTGTGTCATGCACTGGCCACAGTCCAGGGGTGAAATTCAACCATCTCAGCCCACCTCAGGAGATGTGGTAGGGATGATTTGAATCGGTAAAAAATCACCCCTGGTTGCTGTTACTATTATACCATGTATACCAAGCCACGCCCACAGAGCCGGTAAGGACAATTTTTGAATTTCATCCCTGGGCCATAGCCATGCCCAGTTTAGCGAAGGGGAAAAAAGTCACAATACGTCATGTGCAACCGCCGTGATGACACGAGTTTGACACCCTTACTATAACCGGGGGTCCCCAAACTTGGCAACTTTAAGACTTGTGGACTTCAACTCCCAGAATTGGCTGGAGAATTCTGGGAGTTGAAGTCCACAAGTCTTAAAGTTGCCAAGTTTGGGGACCTCTGCTATAGACTATTGTAGACTAGATGATCTCAGGCAGGCTTTTGGTCAGGGAAAGCGAAGTCCCTTTGCTTTGTTTCTATCCAGTTTGTTGTTTTTACCATCATTTATTTGTTACTTGTACTTAATATATTAAATAGTGTAATTGTATTGTAAGTATGTGATGTAATATAGTTATATTTTATCTTGTTTTAGTTGTTGTGAGCCATCCAGAATCATTGGGAATCAGGTGGCACATCAAACAAACAAAGATTAAATCTCAGAGGTTGCTTTTAACTGTTAGATTTCATGAGTTTATGAGTTAAGTTTTGGAGAAATGGCAAAGAAACACCATCTTCTTGGTTGACCAAAATGTCCTAAGGCAACTCCTTCTCCTCCACTATCAAAACTTTCCTAAAGTGAAGGGCCAATTCAAATGCTTTATATTAAAACAGCCGTAACATGACTCTCTTCCTACCCAACCAGGAAATTCTCTTTGATGCTATCCTTCACTTTGACCCATTGATGCAGTAAAAGATTGGATAATGTAATGTGCCTAAGAGAAAGAAAGCAAAGTGGCGAGTATAGTAAGCCAAAATTAGCATGATGTCTGGTGATTAGATGGACAAACACCACTTCTCCATTTAGCCTACAATCTGGAGATTTCCTGGTCTATCTCCCGCTTAGTTTTTCAAAACCATCTACCACATGGAAAAGAGGTGGAGAACCAGATGGAGAAGATCCAATTATGGGTCCTTCTAGAGCAAGGGCCTTCAAACTTAGCAAGTTTTAAGACTTGTGGACTTCAACTCCCAGAATTCCTGAGCTAACATGACTGGAGGAAGAATTCTGGGAGTTGAAGTCCACAAGTCTTAAAGCTGTCAAATTTGAAGACTCCTGTTCTAGAGCACCATTAAAGGGAATTGTTCCTCATTTGCATTGGTTACTTCCTTTCTGACATTTCCAAGGAGTTTCTCTCTCCTTTTATTCTATGTCCCTTGTCTACTCGAAGAGTTTGCCGAAGACGCATCCCAGCCACTGAAAATTTCATTCAGAAAATGTTCTTCTCTACATTCAGTACCGAGATTCAACGTTCATCTATCTCACAACAAATACTTTCTCATTTCAAGTCCAGCAAGTCAGACTTTCCTCCAGGAATGACTCAGTATCTCATTTCAAGCTCATTTTTGCATCTTTAAAAAACATTGTGGTGGCAATGTTGAACTTGGACGAAAAAACAGAGGCCATGCTCTTTCTCTTGACTTTCTGTCTTTTGCTGGGTTTTTGGCAAGAGGGCAACAAAAGGTTCTGTATCTTAAGACCAAAGGTGACATGTAATTGCAACAATAAATTAATGCCTGATAATAAAACTAGCTTCCTTTATAGAATAAGGACCTTGAGCCCTAACAAAATTATTATTAAGGAAATGTAAATGGAGGAAAACACAAAATAATAAGAATGACATAAAAATGGTCTTCAACTGTTGATAAATGGATTAATTGGTAATTAATAAATTTAAATCCTACCTGTCAAATTTCTTATCTTATCAAATATTTGCACCAAGACAAGTGTGTCCAACCACACTTGGCTAATAAAGAATTCTGTTCTATTCTATTATTTGAATCTATTTGTTGTTGTCTGTCTAATTTTATAGAGCCTATTAGTTAGGATTCTTGTACTTAACCAAAGACACAACTAAGTTCTTGAGAAAAAGTGAGCAGAAATATTCAATGGTTGAGGGGGAAGGAACTGACTTGATATCTGCTGTAGTTATTAAACGCAGCAACAATAGATTTACATAATCAGATTGAAACAAGATTTACTCTATTTTTTAAAAAAATCAAATCTGTATGAACAAGAAAGCACAAGACAAATTAGTCATCTAGTGGGAGGTTGCATTTTGGGGAAGAGGCATGGCCATGGTTTTTAGCTTCTACGATGAGATCAGTGAGAAGAGACAGGATTGATATTTTAGACTGTTCTTCCTCACTTTTAAAAAAGAAATAGAGGCATTAATGCCCTGGATGTGCCTAATCACTTCCCATTTCTGCCTAAAAATCACCTCAAGTATTTTTGCATAGGAAGAAATCCTAGATCAGAAGGGGTTTTGAAGGTCATCTAGCCCAAACCCCTGTGGGACATAAATACTCAAATTGTGTTTCATCTTGGCTTGCAAGGGCTGGAAATATGAACTTGAATGGCTGAAATGTCATGGGGTACATTTCATCCGTTGAATAGAGATTACCCAATCTTGCGTGAACAAAATTCAGGCTCCTAATCTGGCAGTTTTTTGCTTAGGTCATTTTCACCTACTGCCATACAGTTTTCTAAACCAGAGGTCGGCAACCTGAAACACTCAAAGAGCCACAAAGGTCCTAACCAGAAGCCCCCTACCCCGGTTCAATTCTGGAGCTGACTGGAAGTCCAGTTTCCCCACTATAGAGTCTCCTCCTAGCGTGGCGTCCGTTTTCCTCTGCCTGTCCTAACCAAAAGCCCTATCAACTGTGGAGCCAACTGTGACAGGGAGCCACAGCAGAGGGATGAAAGAGCCACATGCGGCTCCAGAGCCGCAGGTTGCCAACCCCTGTTCTAAACAATCTAATCCTGTTTATGAGGATGAAGGATCAATGAGATATTTCTCATGGCCATGTCCTTATCTCAGCCAAGAACCAAGGCTGCCTTCTTTCTGTCATTAAAGATTCTGTAAAACTCAAAGCTCTGCAGATTTTTCCACAGTTGTCCTTAATTTTAATTCAGAGCTCTTTTAAATGTTGTAAAGTACAGCAGATCCTCCAGGTCAAGGCTCTGGAGAGCTGCTAAGTGAAGATCCAATGGGTAGTAGCTTTGGAGTAAATATCCCATCTTCCTGAATCACCCAGGGCTTCTAATTCCAGTTCAGCCTCATGTGAAGAACAGAATCCTTCACCTGGAGGGGCTCCTTCCTATCTTAAGCTGTCCTTTGATGTCATTTAAGCTTCTTTTCTTTCCTCTGGTTCTGACTTATTCTTGGTGCTGACTCTCTCCCACAATATTCCCCATGGCTTTCAAAGGGAATATGAGCAGGCTTATT